TAAAGATGATTATTTCATCACCATTTTTCACATAAATCCCAATAATCACTGAGGCTCTCTAAGGAGCCTCACACATCTGGACCCCTGGCCTTCTTCACCTCTGGCTTCCCCTTCTCTGCTCTCACAGTCTATATCCCTGATCATAAAAAGAAACAGCCAAAAAGAAAAATCACATATTACACAGGTTCAAAGGGTACAGACTCTTAACTCCTCCCAGTGCTAAGGATCCCCTGGATAACTTTTCATTGCTTTAGGATCCCCCACACCACACTTCCATCCCAATGCTGCTAGAAGATCAAGATGATCTCACTATCAGAGGTAAACTTGGTTACATGATTACTTCCAAACTGCTTAAAATAAATATAAGTCCTTTCAGAAATCTCTCAAACAGGTGTCAGGAGTTTATTACTTTTCATACATGCAAATAACTTGCACACCCTCTGTGTATGTCCCACTCAAACCACCACGGGTATGATTTGTGGTCTCTCTTCTACCACTTATCTGCCCAAAATCTCTCCAAAGGAATCTCAGGCTCTCTACTTTCCTTCTCATCCCCTGCTCTTCTCCTAACACATTTTTTCTTTCCTGATTTGAACCTCACTTTTTCTGGTAAAGAATTTTAATTCCTCTAGGTTTCTCCTTTTGCAATCTTCACGCATTGCCTCTAATAAACCCGACCAAGTTCAAGCCCATCAGGTAAGTGCAATGTTCTCCTAAAAGGAAGGATAATACTTGTGAAAAATTATTAGTAGCTGTTTTTAAAAATACATACATATCATAAATCATGTTAAATATTTAATATACAATAAATATTAAATAATATATGATTATAATATATATATTATTGCTCTTGTTACACAAAAATATACAAAAGATATTGTATATAATTGCAGGTGGCTCAAAGACCCCACCCCCAGGAATCCATAAATATCTGGTGGCTCTGGATCTCAGATTCAGAACACCTGCTCTAAAGTATATAATTCCTCAGCAACCAAGCATGTTTAAAGGAAGAAACCCAGTTTGGACAGGGAGTTAGAGCATGAAGACCAATATGCCAAAGGTCTAGTAAGAAACAGGAAAACCAAAACCACAGCCTAAAAAGGTAGGAATTTCAGGGTAAAATGGATTCAGAACCAAGGATCCACTTAGAAGACCTGAGTCCTAAGCAGGAAAGCTAGATTTCTGAAATCCTCTACAAACAACAGTTTCTGATTTATACAGTCACTACCCTGTTCCAGACTCTCCTTATAAATGAATTCTCTGTTGTCAATGCACCAATTAAAAGTATAGTTGAACAAAGTATGTTCAGAGGGTGTCATTAACCCTAACAGTGACCTGCAGTAGAGGATGGGTCAGAATGGAGGCTGATCTGTGTTCCCAAGGACAGTCCTTGCAGTCTTCAGAGGGAGAAGACAAAAGTGACAAAGGGAGCATGGACACCAACCCCATCCTGGTGTGGGGTCCATGACATAGAAGGGGGCTGAACTGAGCCAGGGGAGGTAAGGAAACTGAGGAACATACCTGCATACAGCTGTGCCTTCCTCCAGGCTGAAAGGGAACACACCTTGGTGAGACCTGAGTCAGAACAAGCCTGCTCAGCATTGTTGGTGGGAATTTATCTACTGGCCCTTGCCTGCCCTCTGGAATACAGGTGACACTAACTGCAGAGTGGGGAGAGGCTGGAGAGGAGATGACCTCAGGCCACATGCTGACAGCAGAGTGTTGTGGGAAATTCTCTGGACCACAGGTCAGGAAGTCTGCCTTGCAGGCTGAGTTCCAACCCTGCCTGCTGATGCTGC